ATACTAGAAAAGTGCCTTAGACATAGAAATGAAAACTTTGAGCCAGTCATTGTCTTACCCAAATCTACTGTTCAGGAATGATGCAAAAGAAACAATGCTATGCATCTCCAAGCCATGACAATATGTTTAGGATATGGTCAATGTACCATGGCAATCTAGAAAATTGAGATTTTTTTTCTTAATAAACCAAGGATAAGTAAATCTATTATGCAGATGGTTTCAATCAAATGAGTGGATTCCCTAAGCCTGTGATGGCAAACTTATGGCACGCGTGCCAGAGGTGGCACACAGAGCCCTCTCTGTGGGCATATGCACCGTCGCCAGCTGCTCTTCCGGTTTCTAGTGTGCGCCAGCCAGCTGGTCTTTGTGTGCACCGGAGCACCAGAAACCCAAAGACCAGCTGGCTGGTGTGCATGCGCAGGCCAGAAACCTGAAGACATGTGCATCGGCCAGCTGGTGGTCAGGTTTCTGGCACTCCAGCACGTACACATTTCGTTTTGGGCACTCGGTGCCAAAAAGTTTCGCCATCATTGCCCTAAGCAGACTAAGCCCTAAATATAGTTTCAGAATTGACTGATGCAGCACACTTAAGCCCAAACCATACAAATAAATGGCTCCCTTAGCACAACAATTCAGTGCATCACATTTTAACTTTTTGGAAAACCAACCAGAATGCTTAAAGGGCAACAACTTCCATTTTTTTATTAGAAAACTAACTGTACCATGTAGGGCCTGAAGAAACAGGAAGTAAACTATCTCCAGTAAACATGGATTTTAGCCACACAAAGCCATCTTCTATGCACATAAATCGCTGTAGTTGTGATGCTGATGCGCTTTACCAAACGAAGTGTAGAAAACAACATGGTACTTAATTACAGTACAGTATTTCATCAACAGCAAAAAATCCTATCCATCTAGAAAGCATCAGAAGAGTGTGGAGGGGAAGCCTTGCTATAGAGAACTAGACCAAATGTCAAGATCTTCCACTTCATCTTTCTTCCGCTGTCCTAATCACCTTCTATAGAGGGACGACCGAGAGCATCCTGCCATACTGCATTACTCTCTGGTTTGGAAGCGCTACTGCTTCAGACACTAGTGCAGAGAATGGTGAGGATGGCAGAAAATTCTATCTATCCAGGACATAGCACGTAAGCGATGCTTGAGCAGAGTCTGCAGGATTGTCTGGGACACTGCACATCGTCTTCATGATCTGTTTTCCTTGTTACCTTCTGGGAAGGGACTTTGAGCTATCCAAAGCAAAACATCAGTCAGTTTTGTTCCATATAGCATCAACCTTGTGAACTCTCAAGTTTCCTCTTTCCACTAAGTATTCAAAATGGACAGTGACACACATGCACACACATACACACACACGAGATGCAGGTGTATATTTTTGTATGTATATAGCATGTGTATATGTGTGTGTGTGTGTGTGTTATGTATGTGTTTGGGTAGATATACACTTTATTTTTATTTATTTTTTATTTATTTGATTTGTCAATCGCTTACAAGATAATAGGTATAAGTATAAACATGAGTAACAATACAGGAAATAGGTATGAATAAATAGGGACAATAGGACAGGGACAGTGTCAGGCTTTGTGAAACACCTCGCTCGATAGCATTGGAAGATTAAGGGCTTGAAGGAGATAAAACAAAAACAAACATTCTTACCAGATGTTGTCTGCACACTGACTAGTTTAGATTGATGAGGGGGGAATACAAACACTTCATTACATACCCACAATCAGCAATGGAACATTAACGAAGAGGAACATCATACTAATAAATTCATGCCGCTTCTGCCCCCGCCGCCGCTTCTGCCCCCACCGCCGCCGCTTCTGCCACCGCCACCACCGCCGCTTCTGGCCCCGCTGCCGCCACTGCTTCTGCCCCCGCTGCCGCTTCTGCCGCTGCCGCTGCTTCTGCCCCCGCCGCCGCCGCTTCTGCCCCTGCCGCCGCTGCCGCCGCCGCTGCTGCTGCTGCACCGAGCCTCCCGGTCCTCGCCTTCCAGTCCTGCTGCATCCAACCGGGCCATTTGCAGGAGGAGAGGTGAGCTTTCTCCCCCCCCTCCCCTCCCCTGCAAAATTTGGCCGGAAAATTAATAAAAAATAAATAATTTTTAATAAATAATAAATAATAAAAATAATTTATAATTTATTATATAATTTTATAATATAATTATTTTATAATAATTTATTATATGTGCGGCCGAAACCAAATTTTCATCTTCTAATGTGGCCCAGGGAAGGTGAAAGGTTGGACACCCCTGGTTTAGATTATGCGTTGGGACAAGCTTGCTTACATAGAGGCTTGCCACCTAAACTGCAGGACTGGTACTATGCTGTGGTGGAATTAGATTTGGGACTACATAGATTGAAAGAGAGAGAGGGGACAGCAGTCCATGAGTCCGGCCCATTGTACGACCTAATATTCCATCTCTTCGTCCAAGTCCACCCAGTAAAGTACTGTTTGGTAGGGGCACGTTTCGGTGCTATAGATGTAATCAACTGGGGCATCGCGGGGCTGAATGTCTGATACCTCCTTTATCAAGTCCCAGGAGATGAATGAGACAACAGGTTCAAGAAGAAAACAGAGATGGAGATAGAAATAAACAAACTCCTGAACGTTCCAGTAGGGTAGGGCAGACGGATTCAACTGTGGAGTCTAAAATAAAATTAGATGACACTATGCCTACCGCACGAAAGGTTTTGGTGCAAAACATAGAAAGTGAAGATGAGACAATAGAGGATCCTATGGTAAGTAAACCTATTCCACCTTTTATAATACCCATCACTGTTACCAACATAAAAACAACCAAAAGCCTGGATATGGGGGCTTCAATTGATTCTGGTTGTACAAGATGTATAGTAACATATAAGATCGTGGAAAAATTAGGTTTAAAACTGATCCAGTTAAAAACTCCTATAAAGTTTGAACAAGTAGATGGATCAATATTAGGCGGAAAACCAGCATGCCTTCATTGCATGTAAAAATCAATTTGACAAACATGAGAAGTGAACAAAAATCTTTCCACATTGGAGATCTTATATATCTGTCCACTAAATATATAAATCTGGGTCTTCCTTGTAAGAAATTATGGCCAAAATGTATTGGACCATTCCCGATTGTAAAGGTAATTAATCCGGTGACTGTACAATTGAAACTATCATCACAATATAAAAGAATACATCCTGTATTTCATTGCAGTTTATTAAAACATATATATAAAGATATAGGCTCACCACAAACACTTCCTGGTCCAATAAAAGATGATCAATATGAGGTAGAGGAAGTATTAGATTTCAGAAAGAATAGGGGAAAGTTACAATATTTGATAAAATGGAAGAGCATCATGGGTTAATAGCAATGATGTCCATGATTCACGATTATGTCAATGGTTTCAAAGAAAAAATCCACATAAAGAAATGGAAACATAACGCTAATGAAATATAAGATATTAATCCCCTCTGTTTCATTTCTAGGAAGACCAATGGTAGAGGGGGCAGCCTGTTGGGCTTCGTGAAACAACTCGCTCGACAGCATTGGAAGATTAAGGGCTCGAAGGAGATGAAACAAAAACAAACATTCCTACCAGATGATGTCTGCACACTGACTAGTTTAGATTGATGAGGGGGGAATACAAACACTTCATTACATACCCACAATCAGCAATGCAACATTAACGAAGAGGAACATCATACTAATAAATTCATAAAGACAGCTTTTGGCAGGGTGGGTAAATAAATCAAGAGAGAGCAACTGCAGGAACGGGAAGAGTAAGGGGTAGTTGGGAATCGTGGCTTAGTTAGTTTGCGATGTAGACCATAGAATTATAGTGTTAATAGGGTAATTGGGGCACGAGTGCAGGGCGGAGATAGACAACGATTAGGTGGGCGGGCGTGAAGGGATAAATTACACTGAAAGATGATTGATTTCAGTGCTAATCTTGTTCAGTTCAACTGTACTTGCCAGTTACTGTACTAGGAACAATAAAAAGAAAAAAGAATACAAACCTATCTGTTTGCAATTTCTTGCCTAGGATTCACAGAACCACGGCTAAGAGACGGTAGGCACAATGGTGCACATGCACGCCCCTTACAGGCCTCTTAGGAATGGGGTGAGGTCAATAGTGGATAGTGTGAGGTTAAAGGAGTGGGGGTTAGATGATGTAACAACAGAGTCAGGTAGTGCATTCTAAGCATTGACCACTCTGTTGCTGAAGTCGTACTTTCTGCAATCAAGTTTGGAGCTGTTTACATTGCGTTTGTATCTGTTGTGTGCTCTTGTACTGTTGTGGTTGAAGCTGAAGTAGTCATTGACTTGTAGAACATGATAGCAGATAATTTTGTGTACTATGCTTAAGTCCAACCATAGCTGGCGTAGTTCAAGGGTTAGGGTTAGGGCAGTGTTAATTAAAGTCTGAGGATGGTGTAACAATAATATAAATATGACATGGAAAGTTAATTAATGTAATAATATGAATGTAAACCTAAGAGGAAAAGACTATAGATATTGTGCGCAAGAAATATGTACCAACGACACACTGTAGAACTGAAAGGTTTTATTTGTTTTATCTTTATGTTTTATGTTTGTTGTTAAAACTAAAAACCTTTTTATTAAAAAAAAGGGTTAGGGCAGTGTGCTCAGCAGTAAAAAAATGATAATAAAGTTATCTTATCGATGCTGGAGTACCAATGCGTCCGATTTAAGAAACAAGTTCTTAAGCCCACACGTTCTGGATTGAACTCAAAGGACTTTTCCCTGCATCCATATCACCCTTGCTGTTTCCCAAGAATCTTGCATTCCATCTGAAGGGAGATGGGAGAGAACCTTCCAACACCCTCCCTTTGTACCACACTGGTTTAGAAACTTCCTTTCCTCCGCGCAACTGTACCACAGTCCCCTCCCTTCGCCCCATTTCCCCGCCCCCCCATCGCTTAAATTTGGACTCTTCCATTTCCCTCCTTTCAAGTCGCTGTGGATTTTCCCATCGAGCGTGGGGGAGGCGGTGGCCCCGAAGAGACGTGCGTCGTGCGGGCTTTCTTCCTCTGGAATCGGGGCTAGGAAGCGACGCCGCCGCGTCTTAAATTGAGGGCGAGAGGAGCTCGGCTGGTTGTGGTAGAGACTGCGGCGGCAGAGCCGCCAGTGCAACCCTGCCGAGCGCCATGTCGCTGCAGAAGCCGGCCGAGGGCGGAAGCGGAGGCTTGGCGGATTCCCCGGGGGCGGAGGAAGGCGAAGATGGCTCGCCCAGTCCGTCCTTGACGCCGCCGGTGTTGCCCTGGGACCGCTTCTCGGCCTGGCTGCACTGCGTGTGCGTGGTGGGCTTTGATCTGGAGCTCGGCCAAGCTGTGGAGGTGGGTGACGCGCCGCGCCACCCAGGCGAGGGCTAGGTCGGATATGCCGCTCGGGCGAGACAGGACGTCCTGCTCTGCGGAGAAGCGGCGCTCCTTTGCCGGCTTGCTTGGCGAAGAAACCCAGGCGAAGGAAGCCTTTTGTGCCTGGTTGCTTTTATCAGATGCGGACCGCTGAGAGGGCGCCGAACGATGTTCGGTGCGTTGCAGAGGCCAAGGCATCCAGAAAGCGGGGAGAGGCTCCCTCTTCTCCCCTGAGGTGTGCACCAAACAGCTAGCACAAGAATTCCGCAGCGTTTTTCCAATCTGCAACGTTGAAAATAACAGCCGGGGTCACCACCACTTCGTGTGGAGTTAAGCAGGAGGGAAGGGTGGGGGGGAAGCTTGCCGTTGAACGATAACGAACCCTTCTCTCTGGAGTCGCAGGTCTTTTAATGCAAGCAGTGTTTTCATTCAGCCTGAAAAATAAACATACATTTCGGCCGGGGGGGGGGGCGGCTTTCAAATAGATTTGCCTGTTGTTTTCATTTCTCCCCTTCTAAAGAGCTCTGGGTTGCTTATGGCAACTTAGGTAATGTTGATTTATTGATACGGCTTTTTGTCCAAATGGGGTGGTCAGAATGGCTGTAGTTTTTAGAGACATCCCTGAAAAATACAGGAATCTGCATGAACAATCCCACAGGTTGCATTTCGTTGCTGATGGTTATTCCACAATTGAGGGTTGCTGAGGAAGCCTTCCAGGTATGAAGATAAACGTGTGTCTAAATTCCAAGGACAAGCAGTGCAATCACAGGGGCAGCAGTTTGCAGGGCTAGCTTGTCTTCTGTTCACGACTGCACGGTGCCTTGGAGCCTTCATGCCATACCTTAAGGGATGAGAATAGCCAATGAAGAATGGCACAGTTAGACCAGAAAATGGAATATAATCTGAGATTTGAACGAATATGCGGTTGCAAATGAATTGCCTAGAAGTCACATTGGAAGTATAATGTTCCATATGTTGCTACTTTTATAAAGCTAATATTTGTGATTTATACTGGGTAGGTTTTGTATTTCAGATAGGAATTATTGAGCATGTGGCAGGAGTTAAATATGAATCAACTTTAATCAGGCCAGTTAATTTCCATACGTAGAGTTTACTGAATGTGAGTTTGCTCTGGACTGGACTAGCTGGAAATAAAACTACAACTTTTGTTGTTGAAAAGGAGTAGGGATAAAGGGTCATTTTATTCAATGCAGCATAGTGTTGATAAATTTAGACTGACATTTAATATATTGTTAAACTTATCTAAGAATCATTTGCCCTTGTCTCTACTTATGAAATGTCCCCATAGATCTATGTTACAAATTGAAAACTATACAGTTTTCTCACACTGTATCACTTTTGTAGTACAGTATAGTGGTGTTGCCTAACCTGATACCCTCCAAAAATTTCAATTGCTATAACTTTCAATCACATAGTAAATAAATTAGTTAGCCCCATTTTTTATTCTGAAGAGTATAAACAATTGAATAAATCATAACCCAGTTTTAAGTATTCTACAGCTCAGAGCTGTTAGAAGAAAAAGGACTTGGGACATGTATTTACTAAATAAATATTACGTTTGAGTTTAATGAAATTATAAGCATCTTGTGATACAAGTCACACTCTCAACAGCATTTTTTTTCCCAGCAACATTAATTAAACCAGCTTTTAGGCATTAAGTAGCCTAGGACCCAAATTAGTGAACTTTTAGATTTGATGAGCAGATTTGGAATTTCCCATACGTATTATAACAGGTTCCAGAAGTCTAATCAGTTAAGTTGCTCTAGCCATTCTCCTGATCCTCTTAATTTTCCCAGCTTGCTTTTGCTTTTCTTAAGGACAGGATGGCTCAAAAAGAGCACTTCTCAAGCTCCCCCCTCCCCCCCCATTAAAAAAAACACTTTTTGAGCCAAGTAAGAGTAAAACATTTTATAAATCAAAAGAATAAAGAAGCATGGTAGTTTTGCACTTTTTTTCAAATACTATAATAATTAAGGTGAAATATTAATCTATGTTAGGAAGCCAGTGAAAATAGTTTATAAAATCTGTTAAACATGCCAGGTCGTTATTTGACATGATTATTGTTAGAACGGCTTGGAGAAATATTAATTTGGAAAAGTTTTATTGGATGCATTTGGTGTTGAATATGTAGTACCTTTGAATTAGGAATACATATAGGTTAACAGTGTGCTACTTTTTGGTAATAACCAGGGCCCAGTCATATTGATACCTGGTCCTGTGTACTATGTGATAAATTAATAGAATACTTTCTTTTCTCAACTGATGAAAATTCTCGTTTACAGGTCATATATCCACAGCATTCAAAACTTACAGATAAAGAGGTGAGTAAAACCATTAAGAAGACATTTATAAAATATATTTTCCCCTCCAAAATGTAACTTCTATTTTTCTCCCCTAGAAAACCAATATTTGCTATTTGTCTTTCCCAGATTCCAATTCAGGTAATCAGATATGTATGCTACTTACATATATATTTGTATAAAATATTTCTGTTTAGCTAGAACTGTTTTTATTTTATTTTATCTTTATTTCACAGTTTTATGAAGTCAAGTATGAGTGATAAGAAGTACCCTTTTATCTGACTGTTTCACAGACAAAGTTAGGAGACTGTTGTGATAGAAGGTGTAATTGGATTCCAGAATTATGTAAAATATTTGGAGGAGGATTTTTTCCACAACTGCTTGTAGTATTCAGAAGGCTGCATTTCTTAAAAAGTTCAGGGTCACAGTTTGGAAGTCTTGTCCAACAGAAGTGCCTTCTGCACATGCACATGTCTGCCCTGAAGACGTGGAAATGGCCTCAAAAAGGCCATGCTGACCTTCTAAGAAATGTGATGGCCTCAATATTCCCAGCAGGAAATTTTGACAAATACTTTGCTTGCTCCAGAAACTTCCTCTCAATGCTTCACATACTCCTGATAGGCTTAAGTCATACATTGTACTAACCCATAAAGTGATTTGATTTTTTTGTAATATTGCATATTATGAGAAGCCATTTAGGTTGTAAATTATGACCTAGCATGTTGTGCAAATCAAGCCAGCTTTAATCTAGTCAATAATTGTGGTCAAGCAAACCATAACTTAGCATTGGGTGTAAACTCAACCATAACAATGCAGAGTTGCAAAAAGAAGTATCCAGAGGAGGACTCAGTAATATCAAAATGGTGGGGACAATGTGGCAATCAAAGCTTTGCCTCTTAATGTATTTCGTGTGTGCGACATATGTCAAAAGGATCCCCAGGGGTGGGGCTTCAACTGCACTTTTGCACCTGTCATTTTTATTTCATTGACACCCTCCCTCCCCCAATACATAACACTGCAAATGTCCTGGCACAAAGATTGCATGTACAATCCTCTGTGTACCTATTCAAAAGCAAGTCCTATTGAAATTGGTGAGAACTGATCCTAAATAATGTGCCCAGTATAGTACTGAAAACTTCTTATGTCCATTCAATAAAATAATTTCAGTTTGCACTGAGAGTAAGAGTTTTGCAGGTATCTTAATGATTAGAACTCACTTAGCAATAGCTTAAAATTGCATGCTTGTAGTACATGTGAAAAAAGAAATCTTGAAGTATTTGTAGTGGCTGAACCTGGAATTTTACATGAGGAATTGTAGTTGTTGGCTCTAACTAATTATAGATTTTAACTGAGATTATTCAATATTTTCTATGATAAATTTCTTTAATTTTCATTTTAGAAACTTTATATATATTCAAACTATGTACAGTTTGTTTAGCTGCTTGAACTACCTTAAGATGACTATACTGTTTTGAGGGCAATACATATAATGTTACAAATGATAATTAAGAATGTGGACATCCATAGGAAACAAATGGGAAGAAGCAAAAAACATGTTTGTAATCATATCATCACACAAATGCTGTGAGTCAGCAGAACAGGCACCTGTGTCATTTTGGCATAATGTTGGTAACTGTGGACACCAGCAGCTAAGAATATTTTACAATATTCAAAAGGATTCAGGTTAATCCCTACCCTAGGGCAGTAGTTTAAATTGTGACATAAGCATAAGGCTACATAAGGTTAGTTAAATAAATCTGTTTATAAATTACTTAATGTATTAAAGTGTTTTTAAATAAATGTAAAATACTTGTTGGTTGTTCAAATGCCTTGGATGTTTTCTGGAATATAGGTTACAGGGTTTCTTTTTTTTGCCAGCAATTTGGTAAATATTTTATAGGCTATTTTTAATTTTTCAAAAATAAAAGTACCAGTAATCTTTATTACCATTATTGATTGTGAAAACATTAGTAGAAGCTCTAAGGAAAAGGCCTAGAATATGCTTGAGAGAGTTTGGCTTGGCTTGGACTCCCAAGTGTGTAAAATGTTCCATCACAAAATGTTTCAAAGTAAGTGTGTAAGAATTAATTACTTTGTATACTCCTATGCAAACATTCTGCCTTGGTCAAGCTATGTTGCAATTCCTTGTTGGCATTTATGATACTTGAGAAAAAGATATTTTTTCCTGTAGTCCATTTACCAGAAATAGTTTTGATTGAATTTGCTTTTTGGATTAAAATTCCTTGCTCAAATATATTGGAGTTTGAATGATAATGATTTAATGAAGTTGCAAGAATATTTCATCAAATTATATAACTCCCCATTGGCGTCTCATCTTACTTTACCTAGATATTTATGAAGAGAATTTAAATTATTTCTCTCTTGTGAAATAAAGATGTTAAAGTGGGATTTCCTTTTTAAAACGATTATTTCTGTTAAGAATCAAATTTGTTTATTTATATGTCACCCATCTCACTATCTTAAGATTTATTTTATTAACAATTTTAAGTGAAATAAATTTTTGGGGATCAGCTTAATGCTAAAGAAAGAGAAAAGGCCTGTTATTGCCTTATTGTTTTTAATTTATATGATTAGAATTTTACACAAATAGGTGATTCTTAAATACTGAAATCTGTGCAGCCATCAATAGTGTAAATGTTTCATAGTGTGAATCTTGATAACTTTGAATTTACTTTTGGGTGGAATATATTCATTTTTCTTGAAGCTTTTAGAATACTAAAAAATACCTTGGTTTTTTTTTTTTTTTTTAAACTTCCATCTGGTGAAGTGTGTATGGATTTCCAGTTTCGTCTGATTTGAAATGAAGTTGAAATCACATTAAAGTTAAAATGGTGCTTCCTACAAAGGTGCTGCCCTGAAATATTTTGATGTAAAGCTTGAATCTGCAATGATTTTAATTGGCAACTCAAATTCAGTAGCTGTTACAGGTTCTTGTTAAGTCATCTAGGCAGGAGATGAGCAGTCATACAGTACCTAAGTAGTAGGCAGGACAATGGTGAAAAACAGTCAGAATTAGAGTAGCGGCACTGATTACTGTCTTTTAGGCATTTGCTCTGTTTCCACCAATTTACTTGGGTCTCCTTTAGATCAGAGGTCGCCAACCTTTTGGATCTTGGGGACCATCAAACTCATAATTTTAAATCCCGCAGACCAGAGACCCTGGGAAAATCCCAAAAAAAGTCTGCAGGAAAATTCCCCACCCCCTTTTTCCTACCAATTGATTGTTCTTTATTTTGGATCGCAGGATACCATCTCCAGTTCTGTTCTCAGGGAAAGAGAGGGAATGAGAGAGACTTGGCTTCATGCAAGGAAAGCAGCAGAAGCAGCAGAAGTCTTTCTTTCTCTCCCCTAAACTCTACCAGAAATGAGTCTTTGTGAGACTTGTCGCACCGGCACAGCCTCTTGGAGCAGGAGGCCTTGCAGGATCCCAAAGACTCATTTCTGGCGGAGTTTGGGGGAGAGAAAGAAGGACTTTTGCTGCTTTCCTTGCGTGCATCCAAAAGCAGAAGCGGAAAGAAGCAGCCCGGTGGCCAGGCTGGGCGCATGGGGCAAGTGGGGCAAGTTTCCTCTTCCGCCTTTCCCCCCTCCCCTCACTGCCTCATTTTCGCAATGCAAGCGACGTAAGCCTTGTGTTCCCATGGGCCATGTGGGTGGTGCAGCCTTGTGTTCCCGCGCAGCCTGGTTTAATTGCTTTGGGGGTGACATTTCTCTGCAGACCACCAAAATTTTCTTGCGGACCACCGGTGGTCCCTGGCCCACCAGTTGGCAACCACTGCTTTAGATGCTAACCATCTCCCAATAGAGCAGAAAAAGGGAACTCTCTATAGAAAGCCAGAGGAGTGTGAAGTGGTCACAGCCTGAAGGTGCATACCTGTATTCTCTTGGTAGCAGGGGTATCCATAGAGTGTTTTTTAAAATGTGGATTGCACCTAAAAACAAGCAAAGCTTTGATCACCGCAGACTTTCTTTTATTGTAATCTATGGACATCCCTTATTAGCAGAGAAAAAGAGGTACAATCTGCAGTAACCATAGTGTTTGTGTTTATTCAACAAGAGAGGACTGCATCGTACTTAGACTTTGTCAAGTAGAGCAGAGGTCTCCAACCATGGCAACTTTAAGACTTGTGGACTTCAACTCCCAGAATTCCTCAGCCAGAAAGGAATTCTGGGAGTTGAGGTCCACAAGTCTTAAAGTTGCCAAGGTTGGAGACTCCTGAAGTCGAGAGTTGTTTTAGGAGAAAACAACACTGTCTGCTTCTTCAGCCTTTCTCCGATGTAAACACTATAGGCTTGATTTCTATGCGTGGAGTTACCTAGAACTGTGCTTGGTATTTAGGGAACATTTTAAAACATTATTATTTGTTAGAAGCACCAGTTAGTTACATAAATTCTTTTTAAATATTACCAACTCAGTATAGTCCTTTGCTGTTTTTTCTCCTCTTTCCTTTTTGGCTTAGGTTGCCTTGGAAACACACAATTTTCTTTTAGGTTTCGGCAGTCTTCTAGCAGAAAGCTTTCGTGGCACTGTTTGCTGGATCAGTTGGACAGAGATCTACCAATTTACTTGAAGGTTGGGAAAGTAGGATGTTTTATCTTGTCCAGGCATGATAGTGTCATTCGAATTCTAATTATTGTGATGGTATTTAATGGTACAATTGTTACGTTTTGTTCCTGATAAGACATTGCTTAGTGTACTGCTGCATTGTCCTGCATCATGTGGCCAATAACTTTCAAAACTTTTAATGATGAACATATTAGTTATCCTGTCTGCTGAAATACTAATAATTAAAACAGCTTTAATTGGATCTACAATTGGGGTATTTTTTGGTGGGGGGGGGAACCTGATTATAATGCTGTTATATTCAGCTGTTTTAGATTTCAGGGAGCTCTTTGTCCCTGAACTTCACTGAGGATCCTGGGAATTAATGATCTCCAGTTGATCTCAGGACATACCCAATCCCTTCAGGGGTGGCAAATTGTAATGGATAAAAGTTCAAAACACTTCTGTCTACTATTTAATAGCTGCACATTAAAAATTGAGTGCAGTACAGCATTAACATTACATACAATTATGTAATTTACAACTATGTAAAGGTGATAAAGACTTGTGGTCCAAAATGCCTATAGTACAAATTAAATTGTGATGGGGGAGGAAAGAAGCATTCCTTTTACTTCGTGGAGATTTCTCATAAGTAACGTAATATTGTCACAGATTGTAGATTATGTAATAGTACTTGTTCCTCTTCTATAAATTCAAAAAAAGTTGAGAAACAAAGTATATAAAATACAAGTAGCTCTTAATTTTTAACCAGTTGCTTAGCAACGATTCCGATTTATAATGGATCTCTCCTGAAGAAATTATAACCTGGTTCCAAAGTTCCTAGACCCATTTTGGCATTTGACAGTCGGACTGCATTTTTGGCCATTTGCAGAGTCCCATGATTCTATGACTACGATTTAGTTTTTGCCCAAAGCTGGTGTTTACTTCCGGTTTTCAGTAAAAACACTCTGTATGCTAACGATGGATTTGCTCAATGACTACGGCTTTCGCTTTAACGACCACGGATTCACTTAATGAATGATAATTCGCTTAATGACTATTGAAAAAAGTGACCTGGTTTATGACTGTCATGAATTATGACCGTAATGAGCAGGCTTCATCATGGTCATAAGTCAAGGACTACCTGTATAGGCTACTTGTGTAGGGAATGTTGTATAGTTATAGAAACGTTAGCTCTGGTAGGTTCTTAATTTTCATAGGCATGAGCTAGATGTGTTTGATGAAATGTTTACAGTGACATTATGTCTGAAAATGTAAATATCCTGAATAATCTTCCTGTGATTTTAATAAAATTTTCTTAAAGAACACCTGCTAAGTATACATCATTACTCAGAAAGTATTCCATGTTTTTTGGAATGTTTTTTTTTCCTTTACAGAGGGATCCTGCTTATTTTTATGGATATGTGTATTTTAGACAAGTACAAGACAAGACATTAAAACGAGGTTACTTTCAGAAGGTAATTTAATTTTAGCTGAATTGTTCATGGTTGTCTTCTAAATATACTAAAAAAAAAGTTCTGTTTAGATTGGTGGAAAATATTGCCTATATTATGTTTAAGGTTATAAACACATTACCTTGGCTAATCTGAAAGGCCAGAATACATAAATCACAATACTATTTGCAGTATATATTTGAGTGATAGCCAATGAAATTAGGTATCTTTAAGCAAAATAAGTGATAACTTGTATGGTGTGAAGAGTTAGACTAGAAATTGGGAGATCATGAGTTCTAGTCCTGCTTAGTCACAAGGCCATCTGGGTGACCTTGGGCCAGTCCACCTCTCTCAACTCTGAGAAACAGACATGGGCAAAGCAATTCTGAAGTATTGCCAGAAGAACTGTAAGGATATTGACTCAAAGGCATTCAAAAACACAAAACCAATTGCCTTACCTTATCCGTTGTCCTGTTCTACCTTTGCCATTATTTTCATATATGACTTTCAACAAAATGCATAGACATTACTGAGGTGGCTGCATACCATGGTTCCCCAAATTAAATAAATAATATTTTGAAATGTATTTGTTTAAAAAATAGTTGAACTCTTGTGGGGTCATCTAATTTTAATGTTCGTACCTGAATCACATTGGAAAATATTGGCCTAATTAGCTTATAAAATCTGCTTGTGAATATACACTCCACTCCAAAAAAGTAAATACATACAGGTAGTCCTCAGGTTATGTCCATTTGTTCAGCAACTGTTCAAAGTTACGATGGCACTGAATGAGAGAGAGTTAATGACTGATCCTCAGAGTTTCAGCCATTGTAGTGTATCCACAGTCATATAATTATGACCTGGTTACTGTTGTGGTTAGCCAGCAGCAGGTGCGGACAGCTGAGGAGAGCAAGGACTCAGATGAGGGGCAGGATCATTAGGGAGTGGACTGCTGCAGAGCAGCTGCAGCAGCACGGGCGACTCAGGAGTAAGGCTGCAAGGTAATGGCCCATCCTTCAAAAAGATAAAAGCCAGCTGTGAATCAGACGTTCTTTGCAGGAAGCAAAAACGTTTTGAAACTCGAGCCTCGTGGACATTGCAGTATCTTAGTTGGTATTTGAAGACTCTTGTGTTGTAAAATATTTCTAGGTAACCTTATCTGTTATTTTTGGCAGCCTCACACAGTTTTGGCAAGGTTCGTGCTTATCAAAGTTAATTAGTTTGCAGCAGCCTTTTAACCGGGGATTCGTAAGAATCATTAAAAGGGTTTCTGTTCCCTTTGGTTCGTGTTTGTTTTATTGGACAAGGATTTGGCTCAGAACAGTTACACAGCTTGTGACTACAATATCATAGTGAGCCAGAGTCAGAATCACAGTTTCTGACATTTCCTGTTGGCTTCCCACAAGCAAAATAACTGAATGTAGTGAGGAACTAATATGATACTTAATATAAATTATAGTGGCTTTGGAAGAACTAATTATGAATTATTTTGCTTCTCTTATAGTCTTTAGTTCTGATTAGCAAGCTGCCTTATATCCACTTATTTAACACTGTGCTTGGACAAATTGCACCTGAATATTTTGAGAAAAATGAACCTTTCTTGGAAGCAGGTTGGTAATATTGATGGGTTTTGTGATATGGTATATTTTAAAAAAAACATATTAATTACAAATTTTCACCCAGTCTATAATTTATGAATAGTAGCGGAAGAACATGACTTCAACTTCAAAATTGCTATCACTGACATATTACTGAGGATGTTGTTGCCAGTTTGTCAGCTGATCCAGATAATCTGATAACTATAGGATGAACCCAAAGAAATTTAATTCAGTAGATAAATCATTTTATTCACAAATGTTAAGGAGCACTGTTGATAAAGTCTTCTATATACAAATCTGATTACTTCTCCTTTGCTTTAGCTTGTAGTGATATTGATCGATGGCCACTACCAGTCCCAGGGAAAACACTCTATTTGCCAATTATGGGCATTGTAATTAAGGTAATTTTAAATTTCTTCCATTCTTGTTTGTTGCTTGAATTCGGCCAACTACATCTGTTGTTGTATGTAATATGTTTATTATATATAACAGTAACAATTTTTTAAAAAGCCTTAGTACTATAAATGTATATTTATTTCATACTTGCACAAGTAAGAGAGGAAAAGAATGCTTAAAGGAGAACTTGGTATAAATAAAATCCTAAAGAAATAGTGTGTTTCTAAATATTGTTCTTAGACCTGTCATTTAAAAAGAGACAACTGGACTTTCTTGTTTTTCTTGAAGATGTTTCACTTCTCATTCAAGAAGCTTCTTCAGCTCGGACGGGATGGTGGGGAATTAAAATATTTATATTCCAAGTAAAATAAGGCTTCCAAGGTTGACATTAGATTCCTTGCAGACAGCTAGTCATTTGCATTCTTTTAGAGCAGGGGTGTCAAACTCAAGGCTCATGGGGCTGGCCTGGAAATATCAAAGGACCGGCCCATGGTGCCTCTGCCGTGGCTCTCCTGTGCCTCATTTTCGGCCTCCTGCAACACTCTCCTGGCTGAAAATGCCCCCGCGGCCCCCTGTGCGCCCCCCCCACCGTGGTCTCCCCCTTGTGCCCCTGCGGGCTGTGGAGAAGAACTACAATGCTGATCCATCCCTTGAAGAAATCCAGTTTGACACCCCTGTTTTAGAGAGTTGTTGAGTCCCCTTGAGGTTTATCTGGGTCCTCAGGGTCACCTGTAAATGGGTGTGGAGCCTTCTTGGAACTGCTGAGAGGACTGTGTTGTAGACTGAAGATAGATGGTGTAGTATCCCTCTAGATGGCCTTTTTGACCCCTCTTTCAAACCAGCGATCCTCTCTGTCCTAAATGTGGGCTTTGTCTTTTAAATGCAGATGGACTGTTGTATCTAGTCCTGTTGGGTTTGTTCTTCTGTGTTGTGCCACACATTTATGAAGTAGTTGTTTTGTTTCCCCAACGTACCGATGCACATGGCTCATTGCATTGTACTGCATATACCACATTGCTTAGTTTGTATCTGGGTGTTTTATCCTTGGGGTGAACAAGCTTCTGCCTTAGTGTATTCTTGGGTTTAAAGTGTGCATGTATGTTGTGGTGGCTGAAGTCCCTCCTGAGCTTTTCAGATGTTCCTGCAACGTATGGGATGACAACATTGCTTCATTTATTGTTCTCTTCTGTTATGAAAGAGCTCCTATAGGGTCTTTTATTTTGGGGGATTTGATGAAGACCCAGTTGGGACAGTCACATGTTCTGAAGGCTTCCTTGATGTGTTTTGGTTCTTTTTCTTTACCATCTTTGCTGGTAGGTATGCCTTCAGCTCGGTGGTGTAAAGTTCTGATAACTCCCATTTGGTGCTCCAGTGGATGGTGAGAATCAAGTTGATCTCTGTGTGTGAGTTTTCTGTAATCTTCAATGTTAAAGTTTCTGTCTTCCTCGTATACTGCACAGTTCAGAAAGGGTAGACTCTTTCCGTAACATCTTCCCATATGAATTTGATGCCTCTGTTCACGGAGTTGATTTATTTGGTGACACTTCCAATTCCTGTGTTTTGATCTTGACCCAAGTATCATCCACATACCTATACCAGTGAGTGGGTGGAATTCCTGTGAAGGAGTTTAGGACTTTGGTTTCTACCTCTTCCATGTAGAATTGGCCACAATGGAGGACACAGGTGTCCTCATGGCGCTGCCGTGTTTTTGTCTATAGAAACCTTCATTGTATTTAAAATAGGTGGTGGTCTGGGGAGGGATATGACACCATCTATCTCCAGTCTACAACACAGTTCTCTCAGCAGTTCCAACAAGGCTCCACACCCATTTGCGCTACATAGGTCACCCTGAGGACAGAGATAAATCTCCAAGTGGCTTCAATGACTCTCTAAATGAATACAAATGATCAGCTGCCTGCAAGGAATATAAATCCTTCCATTCCCCACTATCCAGTCAGAGCTGAAGAAGTTTCTTGGGTGAGAAGTGAAATGTCTTCAAGAAAAACCAGAAAATCCAGTTGCACCTTTGGGGCAATCATGATCTGGATGACTGAGAATCTCCATAGATATCTATCATTTTAAAAGTCCATTTCTTTGCCTCTGTAGGATGTATGAGGTCTTTTAATTGAGCACAATAAAGGTAATTAAAGTTAACATTTGAGTTGAATGAAGAATACATTTTTTTTTCCTAAGGTGCGGATTCCTACCTGTCATGACAAGCCTGGAACAACTCAAATATTACAGTTGACACATCAGGTAGTTCACTCGCAAAATAATATTCCCTCAATACAAAGATCTAACTTCAACTTCATTTCCTAACATTTTAGTCAGGAGTTCTAGAGTATTTTTTTTTTAAAGTAAGCTAGTAAAATTATAGTAGAAAAGGAAAACTTATCTTTTTGGGTGGAGATAAATTAGATAATGCAACTTAATATTATAATATTTGCCAAAACAAGTTGCTATGTCAACAGTGAGTCTTGGGAGCTGAAGGAAGGAGGCATTTCAGATTCGGCAAACATAAGCTATTCAGCTTCAATGGAAAACGAAGGAGGAAATAAGGACTCCTCCTGTGAGTGGATCCTACTCTGCAAAAATTTCACATTTTAAAAGCCACGTAATGGAATTTAGGTAATTTAAATATTGAGGGGATTTTATCATTCTAGAGAAGACTTTCACGTTTATACATCTTGCTGATGTCATTTATTTTCAGCTCATCCCTTTAAAATCAACTTCCTGTCTTTAAGAAAAAATATGTTGAGGGCCTCTCCTATTTCTTCAGCCTGCTCCTTTTGCCTGAAAGGGGTGAGAAAAAAATTGTGATGCCTTTAGAACAATTCATAATCCTGCAGTACTGTGACCTACAAGGTGAACAGAGCTGCTTCTAAGCCCAATTAACAGAGGAGATTCTGGTTAAACAGATAATACTGTTAAGAGGATGGGCGTGGAGGTGAAAACTCTCATTTCCTTTCCTCTCGTCTCTCCTTTGATAAACCAAGAAGGGCCCAAACATTCTCTTTAAAAGCTACGCAGTTTCAAAAAGGGAGCTTGCTGGACTGGCAGGAGAGGTAGGGCTGGATTTCAAAGTATTAGAAGATGGAAAAAAGAAAAGTTAAAGAGGAGGAAAAGAGACAAAAATAAAAATACAAGGAGCAAGCCCAGAGATGCTGTGGGAGTCAGCAGCATGTGAAAGCCTGTCTTTGGGGGAAGTGGGGAGAAGGTTGGAGAGGAAATTCTAGAGACAGTTGCCTGCAGAGGACTCGGGCTGAAGGGTAGGAGAAGAAGAGTCCAATTGGGTGATGCCAGGAAGGATCCCAAGTGGGATAAATTCCCTGGAGACCACAGCACAAAAAGTTTAAGCCCTAGATGATTAAGCTAGAAAAACAGGGAGAATTGTTTTCTCTTCACACCCTCTCCCCTTCTATTTGAAATGGCAAGAAGGCGACCTTGAAGGCTGGACTGATTGAAGTGCAGCTGCAGTCTGTCAGAATCAACAGCCAGCCATACCTGCAGAAAACAAGCAAGAGCAGCAGCTCCCTCAGGAGGAGGAGGCGGCAAAACATAATTGAGTGCAGGAGTGAAGGAAGGTCAAGAAAAATATGGGGAGAGGCCTTGGGTGGAAGCACCAGAAGCCAGGAAGTGTGGCTGGAGTGTAGCAGCAACCAGTATTATCTGCTACGGCACCAAGGGACAAGAAGGATTGAACCAGACTTAATCAAAGGGATCAAGTTAACTTATAGATGCAGGATAGGACAGTGACAGGTAGCTTTCTTTTTTTAATAAAAACAATATGACAAAGTATATCAATGTATGTATTGTTTAATCAGGACAGTTTATTAATAAGACTTAGATTAAGCTTTTGATGGGGGGTATTGCAGGATTACAAATGGCTATAAAGGGCTCTCAAACCTTTTCATGGAATCAAGGAGAAGGAGGGTGTTCTAGTTCAAACTCTTGCCCATTGTAGAAATTCTCATCCTCTGAATAAAGGCCTGTCTGATATGTTATTGAAAACCTCCAATAATGGATCACCCGCAACTTCAAGAGGCAGGCTATTTGATTGCTTAATAGCTCTCACAGTTGGGAAATCCCTTAGTTTAAGTTTGGATCTCTCACTGTAAAAGTTCCATCCGTAGCTTCTTGTCCAACCTTCATTGTAGCAAGCTCAGATTTGCCCATCTCAGATATGTATTGTATCTGGGTGTAAACTTGACTTGAAAGGTGAGTTAAGGAGAGGATAATAAGCATAAAATTCCTCAATGAGGCTTTACTAGCAGATTTAATGTTGGCTTCCCCTTGGATACCTTCTGATCTGTAAACAACTCTGCATTTTTTAGCAAAAGCCATGCAGCTGGGGAAGGGTGCTATAGTGTATTCATTAAAGAAAAAATGAAGTGGAATAAATCTAGTTCAGAAGCAGATATGTGCTATAGACATGTGGTAGCCATGGCCATCTTGTGTGCAAGTTGTGTCCCTTCCTGGACTGAAAAGCTCTTTTCCTCAGTCAGCTATGCTATCATCACCTCCTGTTTGGACTCTTGCAATATATTCTATTTGAAGCTTGTAACCATTCAGAAGCTATACCGTGTTTCTCCAACAATACGGCCTCTACCAATAGGAAGGCCCAGCATGTTTTATTGGCATAAAATCAAATTAAGCCCCTCCCCCCAAATTTAGGCCTATTTTAAAACATGCAAAATAAGAGGGAAGGGCCATTTGGAGTTGTGGCTTCTGCATTTGGAGCTGCCGCTGCGTTTGGAGCTGCCGCTTCCACGTTTGGAGCGCTGCCGCTGTTTGGAGCACTGCTGCTGTTTGGAGCTGCCGCTTCCGCATTTGGAGCTGCTGCTTCTGCGTTTGGAGCACTGCCGCTGTTTGGAGCACCACCGCCATTTGGAGCACCGCCGCCACTCCAAACACGGCGGCAGCTCGAAACGCGGAAGTGGCAGCTCCAAACATGACGGCGGTGCTCCAAATGGCGGCGGCACTCCAAATGGCAGCGGCACTCCAACCACGAAAGCGGCAGCTCCAAACGTGGCGGCGGTGCTTCAAATGGCGGCGGCACTCCAAACACGGAAGCAGCAGCTCCAAACGTGGCGGCAGAATGGGCAGAAGGGAAAGCAACAGCGGTGGGTGCCAAAGGTCTTGGGTCTGCAGCAAAGGTGTTTGGTGGGAGTAGGGAGGTCTCTGCGCTTCGCCATGATCACCTGTTAGGAGCCGCTGGTGGCAAGGCTAGGGGTGCTCTAGATGAGGATGCAAGGGGAGGGATTAAGTCACCCCCGAAAAGACAGCCTAGCCGTTTTTTCAGGGCTCAAAAAAAAAAATAAGGCCCGGCCTTATTTTGTGAGAAACACGGTACCTAGTCCAAAATACAGCCACATGAATAATTATGGATGTTCCAAATTTTGCCCATCTAACCTATTTCCATTTACCAATAGGCCAATAGGCTTTCTACTGTTATTTCTGTCCAGCTGGTAAGTTCTGGATGAGTTGGTACACTCCAGGTCCCAGCTGTAAAGCACTTCACCTTGGAGATACATCATCTCAGTAGATGCTGAGTAACAGCATTCCTCTGAGGTCTGTATGACTCTGACTCTTTGGCTTCTTATGGCTTAAAGCCATAAAAGCCTGGTTCTTTCAACAACCCCTGAGATAGAGGTAGTGATTGGCTCCCTGATGCTTGTTGGAAGTAAGTTTATTTTAGTTATCTTTTTCTGATATGTGCCATGTTTTCTCTCTTTTACTTGATTCTTTTATTATTTTCGTTAGTAGTTTTAATTCTATAGTGTAAACTGCCCAGAGTAATTTTGTAACTGAGGTGGTATACAAGTTTAGAGATAAAAAAGTAGGGACTCTAATGAAGGCATTCTTACAAATTTATGTGATAAGCTTATTATAAAAAAATCATTGTTTATTTTGTTGTCTGGTGCTACTCTGAATCAAAAGCTTTTTGTCTTTTTTTTTTAGGCAGATTCACAAATCTCCATTGCTTTGCCAACTGTCTATGAAGTAGATCTCTTTAGGTAAAGATTAAAAAGCATCTTGATTTGATTTCTTGAAGTTCACACGTTACATCAAAGAGTTTCAGGAACTGAAAGCATGAACTGATTAATTAGCAAAGAGACACTGAGATAAGATATCCTAGGAAACACATTTTTTAAATTTACATTACATGCATGTGTGATGTGTAGCTGTTTATGTGTTCTCAAGAAACACTCTTGTCATTTTCCTATGTTTCTGGCTCGTCTGCTAGCACTGCCTATTTGAACAGTAAAAGCAGAGAGCTGTTTTATTTCCTTTAACCGTAGAGAAACAGCATTTTCATTACAATCACCGCTGAAGAACTTTTAAAATTAAATAAACTTTAATTTAGCTTCTAATAGCAATGAGAAAGCACAAGTGTTACCCACTCTTTGGATTAGTAGGGATTAAAACTTTTTCACCATGTGTTGTAGAGGTTGGGACAAAATTGGTAGGGGGGAGACGTATACCATGTCCATTTGTGCATCTGCTTAAAGTTCTTGAGTGCAGTCCCAAGAAAATTACCTATCCTTGGTTGATGCACATTATAATCATTAACTTTAACATACTGTTACTGAAATTTGGTCAGATTTCTTTTTGTGTGAAATGAGCCTACAGGTGGTTAGAGAGGAACTCTATCCACTAATTAGAAAAACAATTCCTGTTGTAGGTTTTCTTTGCTCCCTTTATGAAAATTGTTATATTTCAGAAAGTGTCCAGATGTTTGCAGTAAAAGAAGTCAGAAAGTCATTTCTTGAGAATTTAACTTTCTATGTGATCTCCCATTGTGAATGCTGCAATATGAGCAAATTCAGCTTTGATCTTGTCCTGATAGCTGGTTAAAAATAGGAACCTGGTAACTGTATGGGTTGAACCAGAAGTTCAAATCCCACTTTATCTGTGCAGCTTTTCTACTTCTATGTTTCCCAAGACGTTTTAATAATTATTCTGCCTTAAGAGTCTTGAGTGTGCAAGCCAAGATTATATTTCAATTGCAAATGTTGGTTCTGCTGTCTCTGCTATAAGTAGGGCAAGGGGAAAAAAATATTTACTTTTGTGAATCTGTTTCAGATGTTTCTTGCCAGTGTTCTTTCACATCCAGATGCTGTGGGAACTAGTATTGTTAGGGGAACCATTAGTTGTCATGGCACCGTCACCATCAGAATCTTCAGAAACAGTCTTGGCGCTTGTGAGGTAAACATGGAGTATTTTTAAAAGCTGTATGATGGGCCTGTTGGAATGAATCACAGAATGGAAAGGTTGTAGCGGGATAAAAGCCTTTCAGTTTTTATTAGAAAAGGAAAAGAAAAACTTGGATCAGATGCCGTAAGCCATAAAACTGGTTGCTTTTTCATGATTTATCGCAGTGGATAACTCCAGTTAGTAATACTTTACTCCACAAACAACAATTAAACAGACCATCTCTTAATGTGATATGTCCCTAAATGTATAGGTAATTTTAGAAGCTGCAGAGGGGTTGATGAGGGTAGTAAATGGAATAGCTTCCAGTGTAACCAGCTGAGTAATTAATCATATTTGTTTTTGTGTTGATACTTGTTTTCTTAAAAAAATAAATTAAATACTAATAGATATCATTAAGCAAGTGTTAACTTCAAAAAAAAGGTATCAGGCAATTGTGAGAAGGACAGGAGATTTTACCTGAATGGAACAACAGGTCACCATGGCTGTTTTCTTTGTTATGCATCAAAGCAGCCTGGTTTTTTTTCTGTCCATACAGAGGTACATTTTTCCTGCATTGAATCATCACAGGTTTTTGTCAGGCAGTTTTTGTCACATTTTACTTCACATATTATTAGACTTATATAACATCCTGCAGTGCTTTACAAAACTCTCTGAGTGGTTTATAATGTCAGCCTATTCCCCTCAATAATTTGGGTCCTCGTTTTGCTGACCTTGGAAGGATGGAAGACTGAGTCAACCTTGAGTGGGTCAGGATCAAACCTCTGGCAGTGGGCAGAGTTAGCCTGCAATACTGCATTTTAACCACTGCACCATGACAGTTCCTTTAACCAATAGTGGTGCATTTGTTCAGGATTTCAATTATATTTTTGCCCATGTAAATTTCAGATATACTTTTGCCCTTGCCAACTTTATTCTCTTGGTTTTGCATCCCTCTCCTGCGCCCTCTCATGCACTTTGAGTTAACATTCAATAGCTGTTCAGAGGAGGGAGTGGTCAATCTATGCTCCAAAAGAACCTGAAGGGAAGGACCAGAAACAATAATGATTGGAAACTAATCAAGGAGAGAAGCAACCTGGAACTAAGGAGAACTTCCTGACAGTTAAAACTGGAGGCTTTTACTGTAAGAAGAGTTTGGACAACTATTTGTCTGAAATGGTATAGGGTTTCCTGCTTGAGCAGAGGGTTGGACTAGAAGACCTCATAAGGTCCCTTCCAACTCTGTTATTCTGTTACTCTGCTATATTATGTTCAGCCCTCCTTGAACTTTCTCTTTTTTTGTTTTTGTTCTTGTTTCTTGCAAACCTTGGAATTCCTTCCAGATTGCTAAATTTAGTTTTTCTACAGATAGAACCTTTTGTTTTTAAGATTTGGACTTGGAAACTAAGATTTGAAAAGCTGTTTAGATAGACAAATCCAAGATCCTGTTTGGTGCAGGAAACCACATTAAAGGAACCCTGACTGATGGTTGTTCGGTGTCTGTTTGAATATATCCAGGAAAAGGAAACTCAGCACTCCCTCAGTAATTGTTTCCAGCACCAAATTGCTGATGCTGTTTACTGTTAACAAGAATAGTGTGCAAAATGTTTTGAATCTCAGTGATTTCAAATTTGAAATGAGGTGTTTTAAATTCAAAACATTTGGCAAACCCTTGTAAAATAGCATTAGCTGTTCAGGAAAATACGTATTGAAAGACAGTAGAAAATTGCTACAACTTGGAAGATTTTATCGAGATTAGCTAGCAAATATGTAATAAAAACTTTTATCTCCTATGTGTTCATTTCACAGCTGTATCTCACCTTTGAAGTACTACAGTGATTTTAGACCTTATTTTACAATACATGACAGTGAATTCAAAGATTATACCACTCGTACACAGACCCCGTAAGTAAATGTATGGTTATGTTAAACAGGTTGTTGTTAGAGTAATTTTTCTGATATAATTTTGTCTTGACAAAGGATCTTATGCCTGTTTACTCAAAATTATCTCACTGAGTTTGGTGGTGTAATATTGATTGAAAAGATTAGGAACTTTTAAAGAGGAAATTTTAACAAAGGAATGTATTCTTCAGTTCGACTGTCCATAATTAATTGAATTTTAATTGAGAATTGGAAAAAAGTAAAGCTGTTGCTTATTATGTTATTAAGTTACTAAATTTTCTGTTGCTGTTGCTTATTAAGTTATTAAGCTTATTAAGTTACCTAATTTTCTGTAGAGTATCATTAAAAAATATTCAGAATGATTAAATATCCAAATATGGAAAACATATTTCTGAGCATTTTTAGAAATTAAATTGTGTTGTGCTTAACCACCCTCACGGAAACAAAGCAATGCTTGGAATGTAAAAGTAAAAGATCTAGCAACTTGTCGCTTAGCATATGCTACTATTTCAAACCGAGCTGACATTTCTCTATGAATATTTTTTTTTGAGGTCTACACTTCCTTGTGATCTAGGCAGCATTTCCAGTTGTCATCTGTGGAGGATTTCAAAGGATTATTCAAAGGATTATTCTGCTTTGATGTGAATTTACTAAGACTGTTGATTGAAATACTTGATAAATTGAGAGGGAGATGAAACCATGTCTGTTTAGAGTAAATTAAAGTTAAGCCCATCAAAATACAGAGTAATGTTTATTTTAAAAACTGCCCTAGAATGCCCTGTATTATTAAGCAACATGGGAGGATTCTTGAGTCTGATTAACTTAACACTGAATCTCTTGTTCTTTTTCATTTTTAGTTCTTCCCCCTGACTGGTATAGTTTGCATTTATTCCCAGTTGTTGCATTGGTACTGTACTTTTTTTCTGGGTATTGAAAAAAGCATTGCAGCAGGTTTATAATTAGTAATTTGATTCTTGGGATTTTGTTGAGATATTACCATTAGTGTTTTAATTCAACATGCAAGGAGCAGTGACCAGCCCCAACTGTCTCCTAATCTGTTGGTAAATCAGTATACTACAAGGAGCCTTCAAATGAATGCAGAAGTTTCCTTGTGAACTGGAATCATTCCCTCTCAGAATTCCAGTTCAGAAGAAAGAAATCACCCATAGAGCTGATGGAAGTGATTGGCTTTAAGCATGGAGACCAGTATTTTCACTTATATCACCAATCTAATTTATGGGGGTGGGGAGGCTGGCTCACCACTCCTTACTTGTTGGATCAACATTTCAAGATAACATACCAAGCAATATTACTGGTTTACCGAATTCCAGTTCAGCAGGTTGATATATACATTTCATTTATCTTGTTTTAAAATTACATTGGTGAAAAGTTAGCCAATTAAATGATTTTATCAAGTAGGATAAGTTACTACATTGGTTTTCCCTTTTCTCATGGTACAGGTTTAGTTTAGTTGCTTTTATCATAGTTCTTTGTTAAAAGCCACTTTAGCTTGCATTATTTTACTTAGATTTTCTACATTTTTAAAATAATTCTCATTTCTTTTTATTTCTAATCTCATTTGCTCTTTTGCTTTACAATTGTTTGAGTTTTATAACAATGTCTATATTTGTCTGGTGTTTTCATCAGTTTCTAGAGATATATGCATGGTTAACTAAACAATTAGATCTGCAAAACCTAGGTGTATAACCAGCAAGCTCTTCCAGCTGAGCATAAACCAACATGCATCTGATCTGGGTCATGGAATGTACTGAAATGTGGCAGGCTCTTACTTGGGATTCAGTCACGAGGGAAGAGTCTGAGCATGGAAACAGGATCTTTCAGATCTTGTGAGGGAAGCTAATTCTCTGGAGATCTGTTATGTTCCTCAGCTTTAAAGGGGACAACATTTGCTTAAGCTGTGAGCCATAATGTCCCCAACAGAAAAGAGCAGAACTAAGTTGGTAATAATAAACAATATGAATCTGTTATTTCTGTTGAGGATTAGAGGCAGAAAAGGACATACATTCTTTTCAGTTGGGTAGGGAATAAAGGAAAAGGCTGGTGGGGTTCTTTTGTTTTCTTGTGTGCTGCTTGTGCACTTTCAGCAAAGGAAAAGGGGCTCTCCTATCTGTGCCTTCCCAATCCGAATACATTGTGATTTATAAGCTGTTAGATGTGGCTTGGTGTGTAGTGTGAGCTCAAACCATTTTATCGGATTTGACAAAGTCTGATTAAGCAAGTCATGGTTTGGACAATGTGTTTATCCACTATTCATGTTTACGAGGGCTTTTGCCCTCCAGCACCTGTGACCAACTCTGCCCCTTCCTCTTTTCTGTTCAGATTTCAGCTAACAAAATTGGCTCAGGAAGTTATCACTGTTTTGAGGAGTAAAGCTCTGGCAGAGCCCCTTTATGGGAGATCTATGAACATGAACATGTCTCACTAAGAGAAACAGAAATATTTTTTTCAACTCTGTTCATAACTTCCCAGATTGGCTTAAAAAAAACAGCATGTGGGAAGCACAGCAAGTTGGAGGGGAATTTGCAAAATTAAAATCTTTTATGTGAACAACAGCTTCTGTCATTGGCACTGAACTGAAATTCTTTAATATGAATATACAAAGCGAGCCCTTTTGTTTGGGAAAGAGCTACACTGAATCTGAACTTAATGTAAAATATGCTGCATATTTTCTATTTATGTGTTTCCTAACATGCCTTCCCCTCTGGGACATAGCAAATTTCCACCTCTTACTGGTCTCATTTAAGCATCTTTTATATTACAGGCCTTCTGCCATTTTAGGAGTGACAAATCCATTTTTTGCTAAAACACTGCAGCACTGGCCACACATCATTCGAATAGGAGATATCAAGGTCTCAGGTAAAGTATTTAAATTGATTGGTGATTTGTTTTGAGATGTACAGAAAGTTAAACCTATGTTCTTCCATCTGTTGTGGTTAAATGTTGATAAAGTATGTGTGGTACATGCATGGCAGCTGTACTTTGTATGGGTCACTGCATTTTTTATCAACTGCAGTTTCTTGCTATTTTTCAAGGGCAGAGAAATACAAAGCATGTTTCCTTGTCCAGGTGGTGTGGATAACAGTGGTTAAATCCAACTGATAGGTTGCATGTACAATGTTTGATCATGTTGGTGTCATCACCACCTTGCCTGTTTAACCATAGTGTGAAAGCTGATGTGGGCTAACACATTGGCCTTCTCAAAAGATCTACCGAAATAGTGAGTCCCTTCAGGTCATCCTTCCACTCCAAGTCAGGGCTTTTTAAAAGAAAAAAAAAAGTCCTGGGGAGCAGGATGGTTAACGTCTGTGCACAGAGATTTTATCAGGGAAGATTTTCAGCAATCTGATCATTCAAAAAGAGTTGGAAGCAGGTATTATTTTTTTGTATTCCCCTCTCTCCCCTCATGGGTCCTGGAATCAGACTGCCTTCTTTGGAAGGTCACATATTTATGTCAGCATTAACTAAAATGGAAAGATTTTTAGCATACAAAACTACTTTTAAGAACATGAGCACCCTGGAACATTAAGATGCTAATGTTTTATTAAAAGATGGCCTTTTTATGCAATTTGGCAGGTGAAGTTCCAAAGCAGGTTAAAGTAAAAAAACTGAAGAATTTAAAAACCTTGGATTCCAAACCAGGTAATACATTTTTTTCACATTATAAATTTCCAATTTGGAATCTATGTGGGACAACCCCTGAGATAAATTTAGTGTTTTTCCTTCCTAGGTGTTTATACATCATACAAATCATACTTAAACAGAGATGAAGAAATCGTAAAACAATTACAAAAGGTACTATTTAAAATGTGAAGTATTAAATGTGAAGTATCCAGTAATTCATGCTGGACAGAGACACAATGCATATTCACTTCGTTTTCTCCCTTCTTCTTTTTGAACAAAAAATGTTCTATTTTCACATATTCCCTAATTAGGGCTTGGCCTCCTTGTGAATTCCTAACTTTGTACAAAACAGAAGATGGCCATGTCCCTATGTTATTTGGGTTGTTGTCTTGTTTGGTATATGCTGATGACATATTCAGGAATACTTAAACCTTTCAACTAATTTTCAGCTCAGCCCACTTGCTGCAAGATATCTATAATAAAAACATTTTCACTGTCCCTTCCCTGTGGCTGGCTCCTTGGCAAAGAGGTGCAGGAAGTTTTTTTAAATAATGTCAAAGAAGGAGTCGTCATTCTTGTCTGTATTCTGGTCCCACCCATTGCTTACTTCAACTTCATCTACTTTGCAATCCACAACAGATTATTTCTATAGGAATTTGACCCTCAACAATATCACCATTACAGTGTTTTCCATTATTCACATATATTTGTGCTCTGTTGCCGTGTTACACATAGGGAAAGAGTTGGATTTTATGATTTGGGACCAAAGTCTTGAATCTCAGTGGGCCACATTTTATCCTTGTCATATGTTAAAGATTTATAGCATGGCTATTAATGGCTATTAAACCATAGCTTTAAATAATTTGACAGAAATTCTGCCCCCCCACATTATATTGTAAAATATTTTCAATATAAACATTGTACATTAACAGTTGCTTATCCATTTCAGTAGAGTACCTGCAGTGAGCATAATTGCTTTTTTTTTCCAGGGAGTACAACAGAAGCGTCCTGCAGAAGCCCAAAGCATAATCCTTCGTCGTTATTTCTTGGAATTGACTCAAAGCTTCATTATTCCCCTAGTAAGTGGACGTAAATGAGAAACCCATTTGTTTCTCAGTGGGAACTGTATTTTTCATCATTTATTTGTAGGCCTAGAATGAAGATAGTTTGAAAAACAAGATAATTGTACAAAACCTGTTTGGTAATGAAATAAATCATAGTCCAGAGTGCAGTCAAATGATTATGGTAAGTTCTAAAGAAAGTTTATTTTTAGTTGTTTATTTACCAAAATGTGTAAGTTGCCTGGATTCCTGTTCTAGACTCTTTTAAAAGAATCTGAATCTGAATAAAAACACATTTAGCAGTACGTTCTTTTGGATCTTACTTATACTTCAAGACAACTTTAAATAAAGCTATTCTTATTTTGTACCATGTCCATTTCATAGTTTATTTTAGGATTTCAAAATTCTAAGAGTTTTGTCAAGAATAAAAAGTACTAGATCTTGTACTAGATTTTATGCATGTACTACTGTGCATATATAGAGGTAACACATATTTTGAAGTTGGGCAAGGTCACACTTCAAAATTTAGTCTTTCATAGAATAGATGCTAGAATTAACATGATGCCAATTTCACATCTTTTATTTCAAAACAGCTGTTCTAGTCACTGTTTTGAATTAAATAAAATACAATTTTATATTTGGCTAACTAATACCTGCTTTTCTGTACAGTATCTTATTTTTACATCTTGTTTTTGTTCAGGAACGATACGTAGCAAGTTTAATGCCTCTACAAAAAAGCATATCACCTTGGAAGGTGAGAATATTTTTAGAAGCTAAGAATTTATTATGTATACACTCACAATCTATGCCCTGTTAGCTTATAGTTGTGTTTTGTCATAGAGTCCTCCACAGTTGAAGCCATTCAGCAAAGAGGAGTTTATGAAAACTCTTGAGAAAGCGGGGCCTCAGCTTACCTCTCGGTTAAAGGGGGACTGGATAGGATTGTACAGGTAATTTTGTTGTAGTAAAAGAACTTAGCAGGATTGCTCATTGTGTTCTAGTAGGCCATGTACAGCTACATTAAATTTTGTTTGTTTATCAAATGTGTATAGCCATATACCTCACTGACTCTGGGTAGTGTACAATAAAGCAGTTAAAACATATTGAAAACAACAATTAAACAAATATGAATAAGATTGCAGGAGGATGAACCAGAATCCTACACACAATGTAACCATCTCATTATAGTTGCCCTTTCTTGCTTATAAAATGCATACTTTAAAAAAATCTATTTTGCTAATGTCAAAATCTGTTTTGAAGGCTATTATTACTAAGGTATTAGAATGATGTTTCCTAACTAATCACACTAAGCGTATACCAGCGCAAAATGTAATATGCCATTCTTTCTAGTTGCTAGCTAAGGCAAATATTGCCCTTTATCCACAGACAAGCCTTAACTGCTTTATAGTTTGGGAATGGGGTATGTAGATAAAGGATAGATAGGAAATTCATGATTCACCTGCTGTTTAAAAACTGGTCTACCAAAATTATGTTAAACAGTGCATCTGCATCTATATATCATTCATTCTTGAAACATCTTCAGTTTCATGTGCACTTTACAGTATTTTGGTGGATAGTTCTTTGGAAGTTTCTTCCATATTCAAAATGGTTACAGTATGTCTTCAAAGCAATATAACACTGAAGTTCATAAGAATCAGTCCATTCTTCCTTTGGCAGTTTATATTGCAAGTAACAAACCAATATTTGTTACTAACATTAACTCTAATTATTAGTTACTGTCATGAGATATAGTAGACGCGAGGGTTCTTTCTCAGTGTACATATGTAAGCAATTCAAGATTATATCTTATGTTCACATTAGATACATTTCATTTGGAAATAAATCTGGATAAGAAGATAGATATTTGCTTTCATTGCAGAATATTTCTGTTAGTGAAACCAATTTTCCCTTTGTTTTATAGGCATTTTCTGAAATCTTATAATTTTGATGGTTGGTTCCGGACACGGCGGAAAGAAATGACACGGAAACTGGAGGCACTGCATTTGGAAGCATTGTGCAATGAGGTTAGATCAGTGTCTTTACATCAAGATTTTTCTCACCTATCCGTAGTAGAAGTGCAAAATAGTGTTTATACACTACTTGAAAATCCAGTGGAAAAATCTGCATATCAAATTGAAATAAGAAGTGCTAGTTTCCCACTGCTGATTTTAAATTACATTGCAGAATCTTGGTATAAGGAGTAGTATTAAAATCACTAATAGTTTAGTTGCTTCAGAATTGGTTTGCTTTTCTTGTATCTTGCTTGATGTAATATTTATGGATGTAATTAATTTCCAGGCACATTTTTTTCTTTTTCTAGGACTTGCTTTTCTGGAGTCAGAAACATACTGAGGTGGAAACAGTGGATCTAGTCTTAAAACTAAAAGCTAAATTGGTAGGTAGAATTTTCCCCCCCAAAACATTCTGTATGCCTTTGCTAATGTTTATGTTCTGTCTCTTTTAATTATTCCAGTTGACACATACATTGTCAGAATGGTTCAAAGAAACCCAATATTGTATATCTGTCCATTCTCCTATCCATGAAAGGATAATGTGAAGGACTTTTGATGATTCATAACCAAGGTTGCCAGTTCCTCCTAAATAGCATCTTTACTTCCCTGTCGATAGTTTTTCTTCCTGGCATCTTTGTGGAACATGTTTACTGCAGTTTCACATGAACATATCAGTTGCTCTTGATTCCTTAGACTGAGAAATAGGCAACTGTTTTTAGACCAATGGGCATTTGTGAAATTTTGAACTTAACCCCCCCCCCCCCCCCCCACCATTCACCCATTTTACCAGAAGGTTTCTTGTTAATGCGCAGCACGCCAGCTTCTCATGTTTTAAAATTAATATTAATTAAAAGAAAAATCAGCTAGGGAAGGAGGAGCTGGCTGGGTCCACTTCAACATCCACTTCAACATCTCCCAGACATTGCAGAGTATAAAAGCATAGCACTTTATTCATTACTACCAAATACGTATTGATGTAATTTTTTAAAAAGGTGCTTATCAAAATAATATATTTGTTCACAGCTCCATCTGCTGGTCAAATACAGTTGAAAGGAAAGGCTATTTTCCATTTAATTTAAAACTGAGTTTACCTTCATGACGTGGAAAACATTGATTGAAAATCTGTCAAAATGAATTAGCAAAAGTACCCTATATCATCAGTCCAAATGTTTGAATATAGTTTTCCATATACCGACTGACAGTAGCATTCCAGTTTCAGACAAATATCTTTCCAAACTGAAATATTAGAAAATTTGAGCCTTTGATCTTTTATTTTACTACTGAACTTTGCCTTATAGAAATACCAGTAAGTATCAGTAAGATAGATATTCGATGTAGCAATGATAACTTGGTCTTAGTATAACATTGTAAAATATTTTAATTTGCATTTTTATAATTATAGATTGATGTGGAAAACTTACCTGTGAAACCTGAAACTATCGAAAAGTTAAAGAAGCACATTGATTCAATTATACTTGCACAGCCAGAGGATTTACAGGGTATTTTGACTAAAACTGGTTCTGTGTAACTAGTGAATACTGCCATATTTATCATATCACACATTTCAAAGGCTTAAAGAGGAGATTTGGAGAACTGCAAGCATGAAAAATATCTTGTTATGGAAACACACCTGATCAATGCTTTTAAAAAGCCTTTTAAAGCAGACTTTAAAACTCAACTTGAATACAAAAGGAAGAAGATGGTGTCAATTATGTGTAAAATTAAGTGCTCTTATTGAATCTTAATGTATTTTATAATTGGATGTGCAATGCTGGCGTTGCAGAGCTGCTTCAGCTGGTGGTGCTCTGCCCAATTTATTCCACTCAGGAGAAGCAATATTCCTGCTGGTTTGGAACACTGCCCACTTCAAGATGATAGCTTATATTCTCCAGTGGGTATATTCTTATTTTATCTCCTAATAAAATCTCAGATTGCTGCCGAATCTTGACAGCACTTCTCAGACATCACGGTTCTGTTTGCCAAGCTATGGTTCAGTGTTTGGGAGCACCCTGTGATAGGCCTCCTACTCTTCTACTTATCTTTTGAGATCCATGCATTAATTGTAGTCAGATAAAATATCCTGTTAAAATTACAGGCAATGAGAGGTCTGAACCAAGGTTGAAACCCCTTCAGATCCTGGTTTTAGTCCTCAATTTGGAAGGCACTTGATTCCAAGCACTCCCAGTTTATCTGGCTTAGATTCTCTAGCAAACTGTAATGTTATTAATTAATGTGTGGATGAGGAGAGTTCAAGGAAAAAAGGGAAATACATGCCTCTAGTCACATTTGCTTTGTGACACCTGAACCAAGCTAATTGTCACGTTCGGTGCATAACTTATTTGATCACAGATCTAATTCTAGATGTTAATTAGCTAGACTATAACATAATTAAATGCTTTTTCCTAAAATAACTTTCTTTTTAAGAAACCTATAAAAACTATCACTAGTTTATCTCTCCTTCTCAATTTTTGTAGATTTCAGTGGGTATTTCTCACTAAAGGCCTTTTTAATTAGACCTTTACAGTGATAGGTCTTACTGTAGTACTGCAGTTAAAGTTAAACTAGTATTAACATTCATTTTCAAAGTGTAAGTAATTAGAAAACTATATGCAATGATCAGCTGCCTCTCTTACTTCAAACATCACAAATCACTTTCTTGAGGAAACCTTTGAAACAGTCCTTACTCCCATCTCCAGATATAATTAAAACGAGCCAAAATTCATATAAAGGAAGCAGTCACACAGCCTTCATGTTTACTCATTCTACCTGTTCTATGTAAAATACCACACATATCAAATCAGTATCTAAAATACTTAAAATACTTCCAAGAATATGCACATATCAGGCTGTAGAAATCATTGCACACCAAATGGGCTACTGTATTGGAAAAAAAATTGTTTTCTTACATGAAATGTATTAAGTTTAGCAGTCCCTTCTGACATTTCCTAGTGTAAAGAGAGGTTCCTCAAAGGCAGCCTACTATTTTATATGAATTCACATGGCACATTAACTGTAAGGGTGACTAGTGAATATGCTCTTGCTGCCATGTTACTTTCTTATCCCCTCTAGTGTACTGTATTACATCAGGCAATCAACTAACCATCGTGGATGAATGGAAACCAGACTTCGTCCCTGTAGTCTCTAGGTTATACAGGTAGTCCTCAACTTAACAACCACAACTGAGCCCAAAATTTATGTTGCTAAGTGAGAAATTTGTTAAAAAATTGTAAAAGTGAGTTTTGTTTCATTTTACAATGTTTCTTGCCACATTTATCAAGTGAATCACTAAAGTTGTTAAATTAGTAACATGGTTGTTAAGTGAATCTGCTTTCCCCATTAACTTTGCTTGTCAGAAGGTCACAAAAGAGGATCATGTGAACCTAGGATACTGCAATTGTCATAAATGTGAGTCAGTTGTCAAGTATGTAAATCATGTGACCATAGGGATGATGCAATGGTTATAAGTGTGAACAATGGCCATAAATCACTTTTTAAAACTTCAAATGCTCACTAAGTGAACTGTTGCAAGTTAAGGACTGCCTGTACACTGGTTTCTGAAACTCCAAAATGACAATCACTTCAGGCTAGGGGTGTCAAACTGGCGGCCCGCAGGCCAGATGCGTGACACACAGGCCATGCCCACCCCATCCCTGCAAAGAGAAAAAACATCCCAATACATCACGTGACGGCAGTGTGACACGGCGAATTTAACACCTGTACTTTAGGCCATAAAACACAGTAAATTGCCAGCCTCAGAAAAAAAAACCATATGCCACAGGGAGTAACAAACCATATGCCACAGGGAGTAACACAGCAGAATTCTAGTGTTCATTAACAGAAGTAATTTGCATATCATGTAAGTACTGTTTTGGATTAAACAATCCCACAGATTGTAACCAGATTCTATGCAGTTTCGTGCATATGCAGTTGATCCAAAAGGACAGACTATAGATATAATTTTGTCTGTTAGACTGGACTAATAGTAATTTTAAATTATGTCTGCTGCATAGCTACTGAAAGAACACTAATTTGCATTAAATTACTGTCTCTTCCAGTGTTATAAAACTTAAGTTATTTCACTATTACGTTATACTAATTTAACTTACATTTCTTCAAAGAGGTTATGCAAATCACATCTGTCTGTACTCTTTAAGTTCACACAATGAGCCATTTTTCACAAGCAATAAATAATTGCTAATGTCAGGCATGATATTCTTCCGATTAAAATCGGAATTCCGATTTTTTGGGGAATCGCCCCCTCCTTTCCCCCCACCCCTTCTTCTCCTCCTTCCCCTCCCCTCGGAGGCCCCAAGTCAGGAGTTGCTGGCGCGGCTCCGCGCGGCTCCAGTCCTGCGTTGCCTCAGGAAGGGAAAGGCAAAAAGGAAGAGCCGCGGCAGCGCTTTGCAACAGCAGCAGCGGCTCCTGGTTTTGCCTTTCCCTTCCCGAGGCAACGCGGGACTGGAGCCGCGTGGAGCTGCGCCGGCGGTAGCAACTCCTGACAGCCCCAGCCGGATACCTGAGCGGAGCCCGGGCGGTGCGAGCGGAGGCCGCTGAGCGGCAGGAAAAGGGAGCTGGGCCAGCCACAGACCAGCCTCCATGCAACACGCCGCCGCCCAGCCCTGGCGAGGGAAGGCAGCGGGCGCTCCCCGGGCGCGCGGCGGGGGGTCTCTTTTGGCCGGCCCCGATTTTTTTTCCAGAGCGGAATATCATGCCTGTAATGTGTATTTTTTTTTTGTTCAAACAAGCATTTTATAATGTATGTGAAATAGGACTTGGAGAATATGTTCCAAGAATGTTAAACTTGTTCTACTGTGTCCAAAATTATATGTATGTCTGTACATTCATAACACAGAGATTTCATAATTATTGCTTTCACTGAATATTCATTTTGAGTAAGATTAACATGTAGGCCTTTTGTAGAGAATTGCCTCTGAATGACATTTTGTACTATTATTTAGAGTCCTTAGATTTAGTTCCAAACTGCCCTCTGTATTTTTTAAAAACTATTTTAATATTCATTTATATGAATTCCAAATCAATATGAAAGTGAATTGTAAAAAGCTGACTTCTGCAAATATGCCAATATTGCATTATTGTCTCACACATCCTTTTGCACATTTTAAATAATGAGAACTAAATCTTCATTAACTGAAGCATTACATAATACATTTGAACTAGCTACATTAGCTTATTTTCCAAGTGTATTTTTAAATGAAATAAATATCACTTTTACAGAAACTTTCTATGTCTATTCAGTGTGTTATATGATAGAAAACCTTTGGTCGGTGTACTTCTGACACTCAAGGAACCTCAATAAACTTCAATGCCAGTATTTTTATCTCGTATCCCCCTAGATTATTAATACTACCATTATGTCATTTAAACTTCTAAAAAGTACGCCTCAGAGCAGTGGTGGTATACTACCGGTTTGGCCCAGTTCTGCCGAGCCGATAGCGGCGATGTGCAGCGGAGACTGAACTGGTTCTCTCCGCCACTCTGCTATTGAGCCCACCTGTCCGCCCAGGCTCCCATACTCACCTTTATCCTCTGCTTTTGAAGCGCAGCTGCTGTGCGCTGCACAGCAGATTACTGCGCGGCAGCTGCTGAAGCAACTGGGAGAGTGCAGGCTTGCAGGAGGTGAGTTGGAATGCCTCTGCGCCTGTACAAAGTGTGTGTTTGGCACATGCACGCGCGCACAAAGTGCATGTGTGCAAAGCGTGCCCACCAAGCCACACCCACCGAACCAGTGATAATTTTTTTTGAATCCCATCACTGCCTCAGGGCCTTTAAATTCAAAGTGAAAATGTGAGAGGGGTGACAAGTTTTTAGTGAGAGAAAAAAGACTAGTAAATCAGCTATGAATATGATGGATGGAGACCCTGGCCAAAAGGGGGCCAAATTGCAAAAGATGCGATGGGAAGCAAAAGATAACATTTAAAAATACACTGCTCAAAAAAATAAAGGGAACACAAAAATAAGACATCCTAGATCTGAATGAATGAAATATTCTTATTAAATACTTTGTTCATTACATAGTTGAATGTGCTGACAACAAAATCACACAAAAATTATCAATGGAAATCTAGCAACCCATGGAGGTCTGGATTTGGAGTTAAAGTGGAAAAAACACTACAGGCTGATCCAACTTTGATGTAATGTCCTTAAAACAAGTCAAAATGAGGCTCAGTAGTGCGTGTGGCCTCCACGTGCCTGTATGACCTCCCTACTATGCCTGGCCATGCTCCTGATAAGGTGGCGGATGGTCTCCTGAGGGATCTCCTCCCACACCTGGACGAAAGCATCCCCCAACTCCTGGACAGTGTGGTGCAACGTGGCATTGGTGGATGGAGCGAGACATGATGTCCCAGATGTTCTCAATTGGATTCAGGTCTGGGGAACGGGTGGGCCAGTCCATAGCATCAATGCCTTCGTCTTGCAGGAACTGCTGACACACTCCAGCCACATGAGGTCTAGCATTGTCGTGCATTAGGAGGAACCCAGGGCCAACCGCATCAGCATATGGTCTCACAAGGGGTCTGAGGATCTCATCTCGGTACCTAATGGCAGTCAGGCTACCTCTGGCGAGCACATGGAGGGCTGTGCAGCCCCCTAAAATGCCACCCCACACCATTACTGACCCACTGCCAAACCAGTCATGCTGGAGGATGTTGCAGGCAGAAGAACGTTCTCCACAGCATCTCCAGACCCTGTCACGTCTGTCACGTGCTCAGTGTGAACTTGCTTTCATCTGTGAAGAGCACAGGGCGCCAGTGGTGAATTTGCCAATCTTGGTGTTCTCTGACAAATGCCAAATGTCCTGCACGGTGTTGGGCTGTAAGCCCAACCCCCACCTGTGGATGTCGGGCCCTCATGCCACCCTCATGGAGTCTGTTTCTGATCATTTGAGCAGCCACATGCACATTTGTGGCCCGCTGGAGGTCATTTTGCAGGGCTCTGGGAGTGCTCCTCCTGTTTCTCCTTGCACAAAGGCAGAGGTAGCGGTCCTGATGCTGGGTTGTTACCCTCCTACAGCCTCCTCCATGTTTCCTGATGTACTGGCCTGTCTCCTGGTAGTGCCTCCATGCTCTGGACACTACGCTGACAGACACAGCAAACCTTCTTGCCACAGCTCGCATTGATGTGCCATCCTAGATGAGCTGCACTTATGTGGGTTGTAGACTCCGTCTCATGCTACCACTAGAGTGAAAGCACCGCCAGCATTCAAAAGTGACCAAACCATCAGCCAGAAAGCATAGGAACTGAGAAGTGGTCTGTGGTCACCACCTACAGAACCACTCCTTTATTGGGGATGTCTTGCTAACTGCCTATGCTTTCCACCTCTTGTCTATTCCATTTGCACAACAGCATGTGAAACTGATTGTCAATCAATGTTGCTACCTAAGTGGACAGTTTGATTTCACAGAAGTGTGATTGACTTGGAGTTACATTGTGTTGTTTAAGTGTTCCCTTTATTTTTTTGAGCAGTGTAGATTCTATATACAAATCTTGTCCTTAAATCTCAATAGAGTTGTTGATGGAACATTTTTTGGTTTGGCTTCCAAACATTGCCTCAGTAAATATCACATACAATATTCCCATTATTTGATTTTCCTCTTGAGTTTTTAAGGGATTTCTAATCATTTCTGGAAGGAGAAGCCTGATAATTGTAGGTTTTTATTGCCTACAATAATCAGGTTAATAGATTCCAAAATGAAAGCTGTTTTAAGACTTCATTGTTGGCTCTCAGTAAAGTCTGCAGGCAGTCGTGATGCACATGTGGTGACATTATAAAAATCCTTGCCTTATTGCATCCTGGCATCTGATGCAAGTACATTTATCCTGGATTTTGTGTAATTTTACATATTTTATCACCTCTTTCCTTCCTCTGTAGATGCCTATATTGGTTATGTTTGTGCTACATTTTAAATTACCTAACCACAATTGCTAAACCAAAATGAGGTAGCTAATAAATTGGAACTTAAAAGAGCCATGTGACGGGAAAGGGGGCACTCTCATTAAGGTGTCTTGCTGAGCATGTAGTATGATGGACATGGCAACTTGAGGGTCCTTCACCCATTATTGATAATTAGTCCTGCCACAAGGATATACTGAATGTTGTGTTCATTTTTGTGTATGTTTGTGTGCATATGAGTGAACGCACACACGCTTGCCTTTGAGTCAGTGTGGATTCCTGGTGACTAGCTAGACTAGG